ATGAAATAGTATTACGACCCCAGTTACAACATCTGGTAATCCATTAATTATATAATAGTGTTATCGGCTTAATAATATTATTATTATTATAGAATTTTACAAAGTAATATTTTGCCACCGCAAAAAATCATCGTTCCCGATACATCGTACATCCGTACGTACGTACATATGTAAAATTTCCCCGTACAGGTGTACGACCACAACGAAATTGTACGAACTCAATGGTACGAAGTCAGTCGTACGTACGTACGAAGATTCGTCGACCCATTCATATGCATAAACTTGCATTTATATAACGTAGGACGTAATCTAAAGTTTTGAACCTAATTAGTTAAATCTCGTTTTGTTTGTTTATTATTACTATTGCTATTGATTTTTTCCGTAATTAGATAAGATTTTTTTTCTAATGACACTTTTGTCTTAACTAAATTATTTTTTGTTTTTTTTTTGTGAAAAGACTTATTAATCCTTTAATTTGCTATTAATGTTAATATTAAATTATATTTATTATATTACAACGTGTGTGTAATTTTAAATTTATATTTAATAAATGTAAATGTCATAAAAATTTTCCTTTCATTCATTATTGTCAAAAAACATCATATTTTATTATAAAAGAAATATATAAATATTTTTTTATCTATATACAACATCATATGATCACCTTTTCCTCATATTTTTTCAAATACGTTCGACCTTGATTTTATCTTTTATCTTTTATCGCTTTTTCAAGAATGAAATTTTACAAGAATAAATCATATTGGCTTAAAATAAGAGTTTTTCAATTCGGATTGGTCTTAATATGTTTTTCGCTAGGTATATATATATATATATGCAATTTAATTGATATCAAACAATTACTAAACTTGATATTCTTTACTTCCACTCAAATTCAAATTAAATTAGAAATAATCCAATTGACTATGTTCATGTCATTTCTACGTGAATTACTAAAACAAGATGCGTCAATATCAATTTATTTTTCACGTAATGAAAAGTGAGTGAAAAGTATATTATCATTGCAATTATAGTCACAATTAATCAAAATTAAATTTATTTTTAGGTATAATGGAGAAATAAAAATATGGTATTATGTGGTAATATTGTTGACATTGGCTGCATTATTTTATTGTTTTATATTTTTTAAGAAAATTGCCAATAGAGGTCCAAATTTATTATTGATCGATATGTAAGTTGTTTATTCAACCATTTTGTTATTAAAGATGACTTTAGTGACTAGATTATTTAGTAACTTGATATTTAATAAATTTTAATTTTTAGATTTCTTACAATATTATGGATTACATCAGGTAGAAAGATAATACATATAGATGTTTAATCTCTACAATTGTTTTTGATTTAAACTTTATCACAACAACTAATCTACCTTTTATTTATTTAAAAAACAATAATAGGCATAACAAATCTTTATCCGATGTATATGGGAGACAAAAATTTATCATGCGAAGCGATGGGTTATGATGTTTCATTAGTACAACATTTTTACTGGAAATGGTGTAGTACTTATTTTGTGGCAATTGTAATGAGCTGGATAACCACAACATCATTTATAATGTCGTTGTCTTTAAATATAATTTTTCATGTTTCAGAGCAAAAAACTGATAGTCATTGCGATAAACACATAGTGGATAATGATCCAATTGAATTGATTGTAATAAATCAAAGTAATAATAATAACAATGATAATGACAACAATATCAACAATAATACTGTAATCATTGAAAATCAGTGACAACAACCACAGATAATATATAGCTTAATAAGTATAATACAGTAATAAGATTAAATTTTGTAATTATTATTATTTAAAAAAGGTAATGATTATCAATATTAAATAATAAATTGTGCAGTGCTGTGCCATTTATGGTTCCAATAATGGATTGCGCAGCAGAAAAAGTCTTAAAATCAATAATATTGACATTGATAAATTGTGTGAATTCCGATGGTATACTGGTGTAAATAGCATTTGGATGAATTGTTATTATAATCATAAGTTGTACACGGGGCATGTCCACCTAATATCGAGTGGGCACGGACATGTCCCGGACAATGTCCCAAAATGTCTGCGTATCAATTTGTCATGCGGACGTGTCCGCTCATTTATTTAAATGTCCCCTTTGTAAAACATATGTTGAAGAATCAGGAAAAGAAAAAATGGTTTCCAACAAAAAAGATCGAATAGTTCACATTTAAAGAAATGTCTAATTTAACAAATATGAGGCGGAAATTAGGTGCGACTCAATTACCTCAATTACAATGGTTTAAATGACTTTACACAAATGTTAAAACAAAGATCAAGAAAATTATCGTAAATAATATCAGTTAATTAATCAACCGAGTAATTAAATTAATAATTCAGAGCTTTGCTTAGGAGTAGAGTCAGAAAGTTAATATACACTCCTTGGAAAAAAGTATTTGGAGGCCTATTTCTACTAAATATGTAAAAACTCGCATTATAACTATGCATACAATTTTATCAAAATATAGATTAAGGTTTTGATGAATAATTTCGGCCAGTGTAAATAATTTATAATTAAGATCGCATTTATAGACAATTAAAAAATTTTCTAGACGTTCTATATAGTTACTAATTTAATAAAAAAATTAGAAAAAAATACGACATATACCACTCTTGCAGGCCTCCCATCTTCTTCAAAATTCCACTTTAACACATATTTATTTTTAATTACTGATTTTACATCCTAAAGGTATTAGACAAGAGTGTTAAGGCAATTGAATGATCAATTTTGTAATCAATTATGTAAATCTTCTTCGGACTTACAACACTAGGGTGATCCCACATCCATTGTCTTCTCTTAATTGATATCAATTCTTCATCTTCCACTAAAGAATGTTTCTTTGTTTCTGAGCTATCAGACTGTAATATAATATAATGATATTTAGCAAGATCTACAAAGGCCAAACTCCTGGTCAGTAAATCTATAAAAATATACTTTATTATCAGGTATATCATTTTTTTGATCATTATCTGGCAAAATAAGTTCTTGTTGTTAGGTAGGTCCGACGTATTACTGGCAGAAATAATTTTTTTTCTTTAATTCAAAATATATTCTTATTATTAAACTTGTATCACATGATTATTGAAAAAATAAATTTGTTGATTTCTGCCAGGACCTACCTGATAAATTCGTTTTATCAAACATCGTCGTCTTAACAAGTTAGTTCCTACTGTATCCATATAGAGGTATATTAAAAAAAAGCAGATCTTTCTAGAAAGTATATACCATTTTATTAATATATATACATATGATATTTATTTTGATGATGATACTTTTTTTTTTCCTTTAATTTTGAAATGTTCTCGGGATTATTTTATTATTATATTGTTGCCATTTTCTTTATTTTCATTTTATTAACATTTTTATGTACTTATTTCTTTAGTTGGAACTTCTTTTGTTAATTTTCTTTCGGTT